GGGAACAGGGGAAATGCAGTCTTTATCCAGGGCCCCTTGTGCCCAGCTAAAAAGACTACAGTTGTTGAAGGAGTGGAGAGAGATTTTTGGGAAACTGCCAGTAATTCTACAGATGAGAAAAACAAGGCTCAGAGAGGTGAAGTCTTTTGTCCAAGGTCACCCGAGCATGAAGTGGCATGGCAGGACTTGGACTCACTCTGTCTACGGGCTGTGGTTACAGTCACACCGAGGAAGGCAGAGCCTCGGGGCAGCAGTGGGGAGGAGGCTTCTCAGGGGAAGTGATATTTAAGCTGGGTCTCCTCGGGTGGGAAGAGGGAAAGGACATCGTAAGAGCTGAGATCTAGAGGAAAGAAAAGCTTTTCTCGGGGACTGTCTTACCCCAGCAATGGGGAGCTCACTACCTGAGACACTCGTGGTGTTTGGGGATATCTTCTGATTAGAGATTTCCCTTAGAGAGCGAGGTGGCCATCTTTGGTGTTTCCTGCTCGGCGTCTGTCCCCCTCCTTCTGGTGACGTCCACCGCCCCCCAATTTCAATCCCGGTAGTTTGAGAGAGGCTGACCCAACCAGCCCAGTGGGGCTCCACAGAGGACTCTGGCTGGGATCTCAGCTGAGACGTCCTCTGCTGGGACTGCTGCTTGCAAGAATGGGTGAGCCTGGACCTGTTGGGGGTCGTGTGGAGAAGGCCTGCCTAGGAGGTAGGAGGTAGGCCAACACAGAGAAGAGCACGGGCATCTGATGGAAAAATGGAGGCCGAATCCTGCTGATATCATTTCAGGCCCTGCTCACAGCTGCCCTGGACATGTTAGTTGCACAAGCCAGTAAATTCCCACTTGGCTACAGCCAGTCTGACTGATCTTCCTGTGACTGCCACCTGAAGAGGGCCAACTGATGGAGGTAGAGAGGTCAGGCCTCTTTTTATCACCTCCTGGGGGAGTCGGGGAACAGCGCATGTTTTAAGAAAGTAGTAGAGCAGAGTTTCTGCAGGTGTGGTCCACAAACCCCCAGTGTCTGCACCCCTCTGATATTAAACTTGATGAAAATGCACCTTCCTGGGCCCTAACTTCCAAATCAGATTTTCTGGAGGTGAGGCCCAGGACCTGCGTTTCTGTCAAGCACTCCAAGGGGTTCCCACGGCATCCAATCTGAGAACCAATGGCAGAATCAGGTGACCTGGGATCCAGCCTAGATCCTGCCACCAACTCTGATGTTAAAATAAGTCAAAAACAGCCAAACAGGAGCCCTTCCTGGTTGCTTCATGGATGCCCAGCACTGTGCCGTGGAAGTGCTTCACGTAAACACCCCTGTGGAATGCTCACAACCACTGAAAAGTCTCTAAGGAAAGGA